CAGAGAGAGCAGGTTAAGGCTTACCGTTTGTCAGCAAAAAGTCTTGTTTCCCATTGTGGCTCTCCTCACAAACTACCTTTCAAACTGGCCTAATTTCTATTCCATTCACTTAACATTCCATTTCCTGCCCCTAGGCTTTTGCATAGGCTGTATCCCCCAAGGTTGGAATTCACTTTCTGCTTCTTCCATCGGCAGAATCATGAGCTCAGCTCAGGCACCATCTCCAGAGGAAATCTTTTCTTGATCTTTCCTTTCCACACCATAGTTCTTTATGCTCTCTCCTTCCTCACATCATCTTTAATTTATTTACTTGTTTATATAAGGGGCAGCTTAGAAGAGTAGGATAGAGAGCTGGCCTTGGAGGAAGGAAGATACGGCTTGACATAAATTGCCCAGTTGACCATGAGCCAATTAGTCAACCTCTCCATGTTCAGGGCAGCCCTCTATTGCTGAAAGTTACATAGAAGGTGCCAACCTGCATTGGTAGAAGGTTTCTCAATCATCAGCAAACATTTATTGAGCGCCTACTTATGTTCCAGGTTGGGACAGCTAGGTGGTGTAGTGGATAGAGCACTGTGCTTGGAATAAGGAAGCTTCATCTTCCTGAGTTCAAATCTGGCTGCAAACAATTACCAGCTGTGTGACCCTGGGCAAGTCACTTCATCCTGTTTGCCTCAATTTCCTCAACTGTATTTATTTATTTATTTTTTAGGCAATTGGGGTTAAGTGACTTGCCCAGTGTCACACAGCTAGTAAGTGTCAAGTGTTTGGTCTGAGGCCGGATTTGAACTCAGGTTCTCTTGATTTCAGGGCCGGTGCTCTATCCACTGCACCACCTAGCTGCCCCAATTTCCTCAACTGTAAAATGAGCCAGAGAAGGAAAAGACAAACCATTCCAGTCTCTTTGCCAAGAAAACTCCAAAAACGGGGTCATGAAGAGTTGTGTACAACTGAAACAACTAAATTACAACAACAATGTGCCAGGCACTGTACTCATGATTCCCTTACACCAATGAAATAAATCACAGAGCCAGTCCCTATTCCTCTTTACACATTGTATCTCTTAGGAGAAGGTAAGCCCCTTGAGGGCAGGAACTCTTTTAGGTTTTTATCCTTGTATCCCCAGCACCTAGAAGAATACCTGAGCACAGCACAGGCACTTGGCTGATGAATGCTTTGTGAATTGAACTGAATGACACTGAGCAGAACTGAAGAAGTTACCATCACTTCCTTCTGATCCTGACAGCAGTGGCAGGGAGGTTACCAAGGCTCTGTTCATATTTTCCCTTGTGCCCAACCTCTGACTCAATCAAGAACAAGAGTTTTTAACCTGGGGTCTATAAACTTTTTTACACACACACACACACACACACACACACATGCTTGTATATGTATGTGTATATGTATATATCTACATGTGCACATAAACATGTACATGCATGTGCATATATCTACATATGTATGCAGATATACACATGTACACACACACATATATTTGTTGGTTTCCTTTGTAATTCTACGTATTTTGTTATATTCATCTTAAAACATCACCACATGAAAATATCCATAGGCTTCATCAGACTGTCAAAAAGGGTCAGGGACACAGCCAATGGTAAGAACTTTGTTCAAAAAGGTAATGATAAATTATAAACAATAATATCAAATGAGATGATCTTTGTAAAGCACTTAGCACGATGCCTGGCACACAGTAGGCATTTACTGAATGCTCATTCCCTTTCCCTCATCTACAAAGTGGGGATGACCATTCCAGAAGATGGAGATCTGGCCTTCAAGCCAGGAAGACCTGGTTTTCTGTCCCTTAACCCCTCGGTGCTCTGTGGGCCGCAGAGGAAAGAAATGCCAGTCTACACTGATAGGGGAAGCTTCTTCACCCAGGAGTTGCCATAGTAATGAGTTAATTATTGGTCAAATCCTTATCCCTATCTCTCAAGGTTGCTGCAAGAAACAAAGAAAATAATTCAATTTTTTTTTTTAATTATGTACCAGCTATGTTCCAGGCACTGTATTGGCTGGGGATACACAGAAAGAACATGAAACAGTGACTGCCTTCAAGGAGCTTCCATTCTCCTGAGCCAGGAAAAGATAAAAACACAGACACATAGAAATACTTTGGCTCTATTCTTTCACTAATGAGGGTGCTGCCTATCACCCACCAGGACTCCATGACTGCCCATCTTTGGTGGGGACTCTAGTTCTCTAGTTAGAATGACTACCAGTGAAGCTTATGGCTCAATCAATACTCAGTTTATAAACATTTATTAAGGACCTGCTATGTGCCGGGTACTGTGCTAAGCACTAGGGATACAAAAAGAGACAGAAGGCAATCCCTACCCTCCAGGAGCTTACAGTCTAATGAGGCCACTGACAATCTGAGACCAGAGAGTCAACCCCTGTAACAAACAAAACAAAACAAAACGAAACAAGTTTAAAGGAGGAAGAAGAGGAAGAAAAGAATGAGGAAAAATCTGCCAAGTGAATCCTATATATATGCAGCATTCCCACCATGTGCCCCTCACCTTCAATAGTTAGCACCAGACTATAAATTGCAGAATAGTTTTAAGGTTTGAATTACTACTGGTATTTGTCATCATTCAGTCGTTTTCAGTTGTGTTCAACTCTTCATGACCCTATTTGGGGTTTTCTTGGCAGAGATACTGGAGTGGTTTGCCATTTTCTTCTCCAGCTCATTTTGCAGATGAGGAAACTGAAGCAAACAGGGTTAAATGACTTGCCAAGGGTCACCCAGCTAATAGTATCTGAGGCTGGATTTGAACTCAGCACCCTACCCGCTGTGCCACCTAGCTGCCCTAGAACAACAACTATTACTACTGATACTAGTAATAATAATAATAATAATGGTGGTGATAATAATTGTCATTTACATAGCACTTTGAGGTTTGAAGCCTGCCTTGCATACATCCTCATTGGATTCAGCGAGGTCATGGACTTAGGAAGATGAAAGATAACACAATTTCTTCTTTCATGCACCTTGCAATCTGCTGGGGGCTGGGGGACAATGAACCACAAGAACAGCATTCATAATAATAATTAGCACATTAAAGTTTGCCTTCAAACAGGTATTACTTTCCCTTTTTTATAGATGGTGAAATTAAATCTTTTACAAAAATAATTAAATAAAGTAGAATAATAATGGGGAAAAAGAGAAGTCCAGATAATTGGAAAATTAGAGGAGGAAACAGTGAGTTTCAGCTGACAGAATGAGAGGAGGGTTCTTGGAAGATAAGGCACTGAAACTGGGCCTGGAAGGAAAGAGAAGCTTTCAATGAACAAAAATGAGAAGGGAGTGAGGGCTAAATTTGGATTCGGAAGAATCTGGGACTATATCCCACCTCTGACATTCCCCACCTCTGCTATCCTAGGCAAACTACTTAACCTCTCAGTCTCAGTTTCCTCACCTGTAAAATGGAGGTAATGAAAGCCCTCATCTCCTAGGATTATTGTGAGACTTACAGAATTGTGAGAGTAACAGAATATATTTTTGTAAACCTTGAAGTGCTAGGTGGCTGTGACTATGTAAAGAGGAATCGTGTGAAGTAAGATGCCAGCGTAGGTTGGAGTTAGATGGTGATGGGGCTTGAATGGCTGTTTTTCATCCTGTTGGTGAGAAGAAACTATTGATGGTCTTTGGTTTGTCAAAGGCAGCTAGGTGGTACAGTGGAGTCAGGAAGACTCTAATTTAAATCCAGCCTCAGAAACTTATGAACTGTGTGTCCCTGGGCAAGGCACTTAACCCCTGGCTGCCTCAGTTTCCTCAATTGTAAAATGGGGATAAAAACAGCATCTACTTTTTGGTGTTATTTTAAAGATTAAATGAGGTAATATTTATGAAGCATTTAGCACAGTGCTCAGGTTTACGGGTTGATAAACTGAGTCACTTGAGTGTGTTTTTGCTTACTTGTAGCAAAGTCTGTAAAAGATCTTGATTCCCACTATCCAGTGGGCCATGTTTCCTTTTCACCAGGGGAAAAAAAGTTGATTTATCGTTTTACTTCATGACATGTTTTTTTTCTCTCTTTTTTTCTTGCCTCTCTAAGGAAACTCACCAAAGTACTGAACCATTATGTGGGGAACGCTGAGGACTCCAGCAAGACAGATTTGCTTTTTGCTGCCTTAAAAGCCTTGAAGTACCTCTTCAGATTTATTGTCCAGTCCCGTGTCCTGTACCTGAGGTAATGAATGGGACATGCCAGTTAAAGTGATTTGCACCTGCCGATGTGGGCCCAGAAGCCTTGAACCTTAGAGTGGGCACCTCACATCCAGTCTCCTGGCCCGTGCAAGAATGCCTTGATAGGTGGTTTTCCAGTTCTGGCCCTTTCCTCTCTTCTCTTCCCTTCCTCCATCAGTCATCTTCACTTCAGCTACCACTTCAAATGTCTTTTTCCTTCAGCTACCACTTCAAATGTCTTTTTCCTCCTTCCCTCTTCTTTCCCTTCTCCCTTCCCCCCACTTCTCCTTTTTCCCTTCCCCTAACTGCTCCCTTCTCCCTTCTCCTCTCCTTTTTTCTCTTCTCATTTCTACCATCTCTCCACCCCTTTTCTCTCTCCCCTCTGCCTCCCTTTTTCTTCTCCCTTCCCAGAGAGTTCTTTTCTACTTATCCACCCCATGGCCCATTAGACGGTAAGCTCCTTGAGGGTAGGGTCTTCTTGTTCCCCATGCCCATGAGATGGCCATTGCATACAGTAGGCACTGACTCAATGCATGCTGAAGTAAAATGGTGGAAACTCACTACTTAATAGGCAACCCATCAATTTTTGGAAAGTTAAGAAGTTACTGGAGGACTACTCCTGTTTCTAGGGCTAGGGACCAGACTGGGATCTACTGGTACGTAGGGATTTGTTGTTTGTCCTTCGTTCTCCGAGAAGATCAATGACATCAGGAGGGGGATGTCTTGACTTGCAAGCGAACTGGATTTAAGTGAGGCAGGGCTGTGCAAAGTCATCGGCCTCACTCTCTCCTCCAGTCATCGTAGTCCAGTGGGGTATATAGGGAAATCCTAGGTGAATAAGCCCCCTCTACCAAAGCAGGTCAGTACCTTCCCTACAATTGTAGCCTTGGAGAGCTGCCTAGAACACTGACTAGTTCAGTGACTGGCCCAGGGTCACACAGCTGGAATGTGTCAAAGGCTAGACTTGAACTCAGGTCTTCCTGGCTTGGAGGCCAGCTATCTAATCCATGCTAAGCTGGCTCTTATTTGTAAAAGGTGCTAAAATGGTCATCCCTGGAACTTTGAGGAGTTAGGCCTAGATCTGCCCTTTGAGACTTCTCAGAGTAAATCTTTTCAGAATTGAAGATGGAGAAGACAGTGGCCAGATGCCGAATGCCTGTCAGGTCCTTTAGAAACTTTAAAGCAGCAGTCCTCAGTGCAATGGTGCCCATAAAAAAACGTTTGAATTTGTTTAATATTAATTTTATCTTGCCCAGCATACCTAGGGTGGTAAATATAGTCAGAAAAACTGGCCCATGAACCTTACCAACAACCTGGAAGTCCCAAAGGACCCAACAAAACTAGATGCTCACATTCAGGGGAAGTCACGCCTGGTGCGCTGCATCCATCGTGGCCCCGTTACTGTGAGAACTGCTGCTTTACAAGATTGCATCAATGCCATTCCTTCTCATTGTGTTACTTTTTTTACAATATGATTGATTTACAGAACAACTGATTGACTACTTGAGCATTTCTTAAGAATCTACATTAGGTCGATACTCTGCTGGTGTGATACAGATGCCAAAGCCGTCCCTCAGAGAGCTTCCTTTTCATGTGTGCCTTCAATCTCTTCTTCAGGTTAAACACCCCAGGTTCCCTCTTCATTATTCATAAAATCATTTCAAGACACCTTTCAATGCTAGTTGCCTTCCTGAGATACACTCCAGTTTCCAGTGTCCCTGCCAAAAGGCAGAATTTGAACCCAGATCTTTTGGAGCACAAGTTCAGAACTCAGTCCACAGTGGATTAAGTACCGCCAGCTAGTTCCACCCTACTTTGAATAACCAGCACTTAACATGGTGCCTGGTACGTAGTAGGAACTTTTCTTTCTTCCTTTCTTCCTTTCTCTTTTTCTTCAGTTCTCTTTCTTCTTCCTTCCCTCCTTTCTCTTTCTTTTTTTCTCTCTTTCTTTCTTTGTTTTTTTTTTCTTTCTCTGATTTCATTGGTATAGGGAGCTCACTCAGTCTCCCTCAATGCCACCCAATCCTTGACTCTGCGGGCATTGCCCTTACCAGGGCAGGATACAGTGGGATCATTTCATTTGGTGGCATTAGTTTGTATTTTATCCATGAGACTGTGATGAGTAACTTAGTCAAATGCCTTGCTAGCAGACTTCATCTGGGGATTTGTATTTGTTTGTTTGTTTTTTGTTCCCATCAAGCTTGCAAATGAAAATCTCTAAGTCTCTTTGTCACAAACCCTTCTATTAACCTCGTGTCTCTGCTCTCTTGTACTTATGGAGGTGATTTGTGTTTTTTAACCTAAGTACAGTACATAGAATTCACCGTGAACTTTCATCCAGCTCATTTCTGTGTTGGTGCACGGAATTAGTGCACCAAATCTGAGCTATATTAAGCCCTTTTTACCTTCTTATCCACACTTTTTGAATCTCGATTCAGTCATTCCGTGTATTGGATACATCTCCCAGATGTATGTCCTATGTAAATTTGACAAACCTGTGTTCTGCGTTTTTTCTCGAGTCTTTTATAAAAACATTGAACAGGATGAGGCTGAGAAGAGACCCTTGAGGTGCTCCATCGCAGAGCCCTAACCCTGCTGGTATCAGTGAATGCTCTTTGACTATTATTGAACGAGCTATGAGTCCGTCTAGTTATCCAGGCCACATTTCTGCATCTTGTTGAGTGACTTTATCAAATGCTTTGCTAGAGTTCAGATATAGTATAGCCATGAAAGTGCCCTGATCCACCATGAATGAATGAATGAAAAAAATTTATTTAGCAGGCACTTAGCTCCTGTCCTCCCTCCCATTAGAATGTGAGTTCCTGGAGGGCAGGAATCCTGCTTTCAGAGGCCTTTCTTTCCTTCCCCCCAGTAGGGAGCATGTAATAAGTACTTTTTAAATGCTTGTGATTGATTGATTATAGCTGAGGTTACAAATACACAAGAGAGAGAAGTCCCTACCCTGAAAGAGCTTATAGCCCAACAGAGCAGACAATTCCAACAGGGAAATGGTGGCCTAGGAAGAGACTGTTGGCCTAAAAAAGTATGGTGGATGGTGAGTGGAGTTATCAGGCCATCAATGAACACAGACTTTCTAAAAACAATGGGTAGCATTGATTTGATTACTGTGCCTTAAACTAGAGGTGGAGGAGAGGGCTGGGGTGCGCCATTGAGTCTCCCAGGAGGATGGCCTGAAGTGACTTTGTCATTTAAGGTTATCAGATTAGTTCAGCATAACGTGTTCATAATGAATCCATCTGGCACCTGGTAATTACCAATTCCCTTTCTAAGTTCTTGTAAACTGTCTGTTTCACTTCCCTGTCTAGAATTTTACTAGGGGCTAACATCAAACTCACCAGTCTCTACTTGCTGGCATCCACCTTGTTCTCCTTTCGTTTTCCCGTGTTCTGTCTCCTACTCTCGATAGTTCCTTATATCAAATATTCTCATTCCACAACCACACCTGCAAATTCCTTAAGAGTGAGTGGCAAAGATGAGATCATGGAGTAAGGCTGGCCCTGACACCCGCTTCCCTTTATCCTTGGGCAATCATTCAACCTCTCAGGGGTTCAGTTCCACATCTCTAAAATGGGAATAGTGATAATATGTGTCTTGATGACTTCAGAGCTTCAGAAAAGGTTCTTGTGGAGATGCAATGAGGTGATGAATTTAAAAGAGGTGGTTTTTTAAGGTGTCATGTAAATGTAAGGTGGTGTTTTGTAACAATATAATCAGATCTCTTAGAATGCACCTGAGAATAATAAGAATAAGAATCTCTAACCTTTATGTAGGACTGTGAGGTTTGCAAAGCACTTTACTAAAATTATCTCATTGGATCCTTACCACGACCTGCAGAGGTGGGTGCTGTTAGATCAGATTTGAACTCAGGTCTTCCTGACTCAAGGAAGCTCAGTGACACAGTGGATAGAGCGCCAGGCCTGGAGTCAGGAAGACCTGAGTTCAAATCTGGCCTCAGACTCTTATTAGCTGTGTGACCCTGGGCAAGTCACTTAACCATGTTTGCCTCAGTTTCCTCATCTGGAAAATGATCTGGAGAAGGAAATGGTAAACCACAATTATTTAGGTCTGTCTTTATTTCTGCAAAGAATATTTTATGGTTAGATTCACATAGTCTCTGGGTGAATCTTGGAAGTTACACACACACATATTTTATAGCATCTGTAGTTATTGGAGTAGAATTTCTCTTTCTAGTTCTTCTTGCTGTATTCTTTACCACACACACCAAAAAAACAAAAAAAACACCCAAATGTTATTGTCATAATTATTACTTAATTATAATTTTATTTTTCTTAATTTGGACCCAGAGTCTTGAGCTCATTTACCGTAGCTCAGCCCTCTCACCTGTCTTGGCTCTCCGTTGCCTTGTAACTGTGTTTGGCCAGGTCTGCCTTGGTTGCAAACCGTCCTGTTTGGAAGAGAAGCTGAATGGTTCTGCATTCTCTCTGCCAGATCTTACACCATCTTCCTCAATCTGTGGGTCTTTTCCTTCCTTGTTATTGCCCCGAACGAACTAAGCTTTTGAAAAACCACAAATACCTATTCATTGCCTTCAGTGTTTTTGTCAAGCCTCAGCTCATTTGAATTTTTAATCTTATTGACAAAATGCTTATAGTTTCTGGTCACCCATTCAAATCAATGCATTTATTGAGCACCTACTGTATGCCGAGCACTGTGCTAGGTTCTCAGGACAGAAAGGCAGAAGAGAACCGGTCTCTGTCCTGAAGAAGCTTCCATTCCCATGCCAGCAATGCCAGCTGGGCCCAAAGGGTGCAGAGCTGGCTGGGTGACCTTATTTTCGTCTTTTCCACGTGTTGTTTTCAGATGTCACATCGTCAGCGTCCCCAGAACCACACGTTAGCCCATCTCATCATTTTCTTTCTCATCCAGATCATTTGTGGTTTCATTATTAGAATTTTGTTTTTGAGATCCTCTTGAGCATTCCTTTTCCCTTTTAGAGTCTCTGGCTTTAATGTAATAATTGTCATTCCTCTGACCTTTTTGAAATATACTTTCCTCAGGTCTAGGATGTGTGTCTAACAATGCCAATCACTTGCTTCCTCAGGCTCAGACGACCTGGCCATTTTATTCCCTGGAACCTCTTACTTCCACCTCCCTGGCCAGCTGCTCACCTTTGCCCAGAGTGGTCTAGGGCAGCAGCCCCCTTGTTCTTCCCTCTGCCTTTTGAAGGGTGACGTGGCCCTTTCCCCCCTTTTATAGAGACCCCGTATGTCCGTACTCAACTATGGCTTTGGCAGATGGGCACTCAGTAATGGCACCTCTGTTACAAAGAGTCACCTTCTTCCTACCGAACGGGGTAATCCTGCTTCTCAAAAGCTGCTCCCTACAATTTCAGCAAACCTCCAGCAGTAAGTGATAGACAACAAGTGCCTGGAATTATATTGATCAGTGGCCAAGATCAAAGACTTTGTGGAGAACTCCAAGCTTCTTATTGCTAAAAAATTCCCAAACGGCCAAAGGTTAATTCCTTCAAACAACCATTAGACAATGAAAGCAGTAGTAATAACAGCTCACCTTCAGATAGCGTTGCACAGTTTCCAAAAATCTGTGAGATGTGGGTCCTGGCATTGTGTGTTTGTTAGGTTTTTATGTAAAGGACCGGGGAGCGCCAGTGTCTTATCAATGAGGAATACCTTTCCATCAAGGATAAGTAGGCAGCATAGTGGTTAAGAGTATAGGGACTGAGGTCAGGAAGGCCTGAGTTCAAATCCAGCCTTAGACACTTACTAGCTGTGTGATTTGGGCGAGTCACTTAATTGCTGTCTGCCTCTGCTCCTTTATCTGTAAAGGGATAATAATGGGCAGCTAGGTGACGCAGTGGATAGAACGCCAGGTCTGGGGTCAGGAAGACCTGAGTTGAAATCCAGCTTCAGACACTAACTAGCTGCGTGACCCTGAGCAAGTCGCTTCACCCTGTTTGCCTCAGTTTCCTCATCTGCAAAAAGAGCTGAAGAAGGAAATGGCAAACCACTCCAGTATCTTTGCCCCAAAAAAACCCCACAAAAACAACCCATCTGCCATGAATTAAAGCCCCTTTTATGTGTTGCCTCCCAAGATTAGATGCAAGTTCCTTGAGATCAGGGACAATCTCATTTTCCCTCTGTGTCCCCAGAGCTTAACAAATGGTTTGTCTTTCCATGGTTGGCTAGCTGGGGACTCTGGTTACAGAACAGCAGTTATTAAATTATTTCTCTGCTTTCCTCCAGATTTTAGCCATCTCAGGTTATTCAACTAGATCCTATCAAATCTAAAAGAATCGTCTTAATTGCTAACATTTATATAGCACTCTAAGGTTGGCAAAATGCTTTATGAATATCATTTCATTTGATCTTCACATCTACCCTGGGAGGTAGGTGCCATTATTATTCCCTTTTTACAGAAAAGGAAACTGAGTCAGACAGAGGTTAAATAACTTATATAGCTAATAAGTATCTGAGGCTGGATTTGAACTCAGGTCTTCCTGACTCCAGCTCTAGCATTCTATCCACTGCAGCATCTAGCTGCCTCTTGCTTTCTGCCTAGCTAGGAAGAGGAGTAAACAGTGGGGTACTGGGTATGCTCTAGATTTGTTGAGTCTCTGGATATAATCTAGATTTCCTTGAGGTTGATTATTCCTTACCCTCTCCTCTTTTTTCCTTCAGATTTTATGGTCAAAGTGAAGATGGGGATGAATTTAACAATGCAATTCGCAAGCTATTTCTCTCCTTTAATAACCTAATGGACAGACCCTTGGAGGAGGCTGTTAAGATCAAGGTTAGTATGATATTCACTGACCTACCTTGTCTTACAGACTGGGTGCATTCCTGGAAAATTGCCTAGAAATAGATTTTTTTTTTTACCAAAAGGAATCAAAATCCAAATATACTAGGAGAGCTTGGGGAACTATGGGCCTTTCTATGAAAAGACTGGATAATTCTCCCAACACTCCTCTAGTTTTATCCATCTGTTTTATACAAAATGTATTTGCACACATGCCTTCGCTTTCTTTTTGACACGTGTAAATTCAGAAAAGTCATTAAGAGCTCTGTTTCATGTAGTCCTCCTATCCTTGGACAGTCTCCCCTTCCCAAGAGTGTCAACATCTGTAATTGTCATCACCATTCATCGGCTTTCATTCATTGTCCATTCATTCATTCATTCATTTCTCTATCATTCATTCAACAAGCAAGCATCAATTATCTCCCTACTACGTACAAAGCAGTGTGCTGGTTACTTGGAGAATTTAAAGATGAATAAGATGCTTCCTCTGCTCGTGAAATATTCATCGTCTAGTAGAAACGATGAGTGATAGACGCATCAATCGAGATTCCAAAGGAAAATACGAAAAGCACGAAAGAGAGGTACAAAATTCTCTGAGAGTTGGAAAGAAGGTAGAGGGTTGTGAGGGCCCGGGACTTTAGACCTGATGATCACTCGGGCCAATTCCTCTTTCTTGATGCCATCCTTTGGAAGGTCCCAGGACTGCGGGAATTAGCATCTTCTTTGGATAAATAGAAACCTTCTTTTTCCAAAAAGAAAATGCTTTCTATTGACTGCAAGAACGACATCTAAGAGATGACCCCAGAGGAGGCAGATATTGCTGAAGGCTTGGAGAAATCAAACTCACATTTTTTGTTGGTTCTTTGGGATCCAGGGCCCAGTGGGGTCCATAGGATCACGCACAGATCTCAGACACTTATTAGCTGGGTGACCCTGGGCAAGTCACTTCACCCTGCTGGCCTCAGTTTCCTCATCTGTAAAATGAGTTGGAGAAGGAAATGGTGAACCACTCCAGTATCTTTTCAAGAAAACCCAAAATGAGGTCATGAAGAGTCAGACAGGACTGAAACAACCTGAACAACAACAAAACCTCTGACTCGGAAGATTGTGTACTTTCTACCCTTTTCATAAGCTAAGAGATCTAGAGTTGGAAGTGACCTCACCCCCTCATTTTATAGATTGAAGGACCTAGGAGACAGTGAATACTGGCATCCACTTCAGCCTGAATTTCAAAGATCTTTTCTTTTTAATTATTTGCTTTTTTGTCTAGGAGTCTTTTTAACATATATTTATTAATCTTTTGTTTTCCCATCATCTGCATTTCGTAATACATCCCCCCTTTCCTTTTCCAAAGAATAATTCCTTATAACAAATAAGAAGAAAAGAGGGACATTACATGCAGTGCTCTATACCCATAGGCCCCCACCTCTGAAGAGATGGGGGGAGATATCTTTTCACATGTCTTCTCTGGGATTAAGAGTGATCGTTCTAATTTCACAACATTCAGATTTGGTTGTTTCATTCTCGTTATTCTTTCCATTTACATCATTGTAGTCGTTGTGTATGCATTTTCAAAATAGAAACCCTTTATCGACCTGTCCCTGGAGCCTATTCCAAGACTGTCTCTGAACTTCAGTTCCCTCATCTGTAAAGTAAGAGGGTTGGGTTCGTTCTGGTTCTCCATCTGTCTTACTTTTCTTGCAGGGCGCAGCTCTGAAGTACCTTCCCAATATAATTAATGATGTCAAGATGGTGTTTGATCCTGTTGAACTCAGGTAAAGAGGAGTGAGTTGGCCATCTGCATGTAGCCTAGCCAAGACAAGGCATTGCCCCTAGGGCTGACAAGGGAGGATGCTGTCATCATTGACTTGACCAGCGTCTCTACTGAGCGCACATGTATATGTGTAGGGACACAAATGGACCAGAAGATGCACTCCGGGCACTCCTAACCTGCCTGTAGGGGCCATGTACCTAAGGACCAAAGGAAGGCACAGGGCAGGATCTTCTTGGTGTGGGGAGAGGCAAGAGGAGGGCCATTGGAGGAGGGCTGTTAGAGGTGGGCCAGGTTTTTGCAAGCGCCTGATGGAAGAGGATGTGTCGAAAGGGGGTGAGCGAGAGAAAGGAGTGTTTGTCCTGAGCCTCTGGGAAGGCTCCAAGAATCTAGTCTTCCTTTTCCCATTCAGAGAGAAGGGCTCCCTGTCAGCCCACGTCCCAGGGAGGGCGGGGAAGGCCAGGATGACCCTGGCAGTGCCGCCTTGGGTGGGGGATGGGTGAGGGAGGCCCCTAATGGATCTGGTTCTTTGTAGCATCCTCTTCAGCAAATTTATTCAAAGCATTCCTGATAACCAACTGGTCCGCCAGAAGCTGAACTGCATGACCAAGATAGTGGAAAGTAACCTTTTCCACCAGACGGGTGAGTGTCACACCAAGTCAACTCAAGTCAACTTAGCAACAAGAAAACTCCTGATATGGAATCAGAGGCCTCGGGTCCCAGTGCCAGCTCCGCCACTTCCTCCCTGTGTGACCCTCGACAGGGCGATTAGCTCACTTTACTCCTCTTTAAAAGGAGGGGGCTGGATTTTATTATCTCTTAGTTCTTTTCAAGCCCTAACCTTATGGTTACATTTTACTTAAGTAAGCCCTTAACCTCCCTGTGCCTCAATTTCTCCAAAGACAAAATAATGACCTCTAGGGTGCTTCTTACTTTGAAATCTAAGATCTTGTGATTAATGGAGGGCATCCCACCAATTTGAGATCATAAAACCATCACTATACTTTTACACAGTCATAGAACCCTCCACATCCCCTTTTTAGACCTCAGTTTCTTCATCCATAAAATTAGAATTTTGAACCAGATGGCCTCAGGGCCGTCTTACTGTTCACCCAGACACTTTGCTAAGAATTAGAGATAAAAAGAAAAAAATGACATAGTTTCTACATGTAAAGAGCTAAATTTTGCCAAAAAGGAAAAAAACGTAAGCTCAGAGGCCTCTAGGACAGGAGATCCCTCTAGGGGAATGGCCCTGGGGGTGTGGGTTGATGATTTAGGGCAGGGGTGGGGAACCTGTGACCTCGAGGCCACATGTGGCCCCCTATGGCCTCCCATGCGGGCCCTCTGACTGAGTCGAAACTTCACAGGACAAATCCCCTTAATAAAAGGATTTGTTCTGTAAAACTTGGACTCAGTCAAAGGGCCGCACCCAAGGACCTAGAAGGCCACATGTGGCCTCGAGGCTGCAGATTTCCCACCCCTGGTTGAGAGAAAGCATTCTAACATCTCTAGGACCCTTACTGATCCAGAGCTCAGTAAGAGTCAGAGATTTATAGATCTGGAATTGGAAGGGATGGTATCTCAGAGGGCAACTAGTCAAATCCACTCATTGTACAAATTAGGAAACTGAGGCCCAAGGAGGTCAAGGATTTGTCCAAGATCGTGGAGATTGGAGTTGGACCCATGTCATTAGACTGCAGAGTCAGGATTCTGCACCAAGGACTGAAATGCCAGCCAAGCCCCTTCTCGAGCCAATGGTCCACTATCCCAGAATGAGTCACCAGGGTCCTCGCTAGGTATCGTTTACAGGTGCTCCAGGCGCCCCAGGGTACCTGCTCTTCGGGGGAGGCTGAGGTCAGCTCCTGAGTCTCTGCAGTTCCCCAGACATTCAGGACTTCAGTCATCTTTCTGTGTTCCCAGACCCTCCCCCTGCTCACAGTGTGAGGGAAAGCCACGGGCAGACAGTGGGGAGCCTTTTAAGCACTTTCTTCTTATTCCCCGTGTAGGCTGTAACTTCAGAAACCAAGGCAGAGAGCTGCAAACCATTCATTTAAAAATAAACCTGCCCCTCTCAGGTGGTGCAGACAGCCTGACTGGCAGTGAAGCGTAGGCCCTGGTGGCTGTGATCTTGAGTCCCTTGTCATTTTACAGATGGAGAAACTGAGGCCTGGAGTAGTAGAATGCCTTAGCCAAGGTAACAGACCTAGTAAGTGGCAGAAGCAGCAGATGAATCTGGAATAGTTCTTTCTACTCTAGATGTGGCTAGGTGATGCAGTGGAGACCTGAGTTCAGACCCAACCTTAGAACTTACTAGCTATGTAACCCTGGGCAAGTCACTTTACTTTTGTATATCTCAGTTTATTATCCGTAAAATGGGGATAATAACAGCACCTCTTCCCAACTCCCTGCCAGCATTGTTGTGAGGATCAAATGAGATAATATTTGTAAAGTACCCAATACATAGTAGGTTTTTTAAAATGCTTGTTTCCTTCCTATCTACCCTGATGATACCCTCAGGTTATTATTTATTAAAGCAATTACAGATTTAGAGCTGGAAAAGATCTTCAAGTCCAGCCCCACCATTTTACAGGTGAAGAAACTGAGGCACAGAGGGGTTAATGGAATAAATATATTTATAATCATTCCATTTTGTCTGCAACCAGGAATCTTTACTAAAGGTCAACTCATGCCCTCCGCCTCATCCTCCCAGCCTTCCCGTGTGCTGGATTCTCCAGGTTCTGCCTCATCCTGTGAACCTAACTCTGACAGCTGCTGGTATAAGCTCATGGAAAGCAGAAATTGCTTCATGTCTGTCTCTTTGTACCAGTGTCTGGCACCATTGGATTTAATTTTACTAAATTATAAATAACTGTAAATACAGCAAACATTTACTAAGCACCTACTATATTTAGAGTACTGGGCTCATCGTTGTGGGGGGTAACATGATTAAATAAGACGGTTCCAGCCTTTAAGTAGTTTCCAGTTTACATATAAGACTCTGGCACTGATTGCTATAAACTATAATATCCTAAGTGTTACGCAAGGTCTGAGGGTGTTCTCCACAGAAGCAATGAAGGAGATGGCCCAGAGAAGGCAGTATTTGAGCTGGGGCATCATTGTTCTGCCCCAGATATGCTCTGAGCCAGGCTGAAGGCAAGATGGTGAGAATATACCAAGAACTCCTCTGTGTCCAACCAAGACCACCGGGAGGGCCGATTAGCCTTGATACCTTCTGTGTGACCCTCCTCTCTGTTTTATAAGCAGAGCCCCTGAACCCATCATGGCGCTGAAACAGGGCAGGGATGCCATCCAAATAGGGTGGAGAATCCACAGGAGATCTCCAAGCCCCCAGAGAGAGGGGTGATGACCCTCTTTACCCTCATGAGCCTATACAAAGTTAAAAGTGAATTCTTCCACTGTGACCTTGAAATGGTTTCTTCAGGCCTCAGTTTCCAAAAGATGATTAGAGTAGAAATTCCAAAAAGGCACCTTCCAACTCTAACATTCCGTAAATCCGAGTTTAAATTAACATTATATTATTAATGGTTTACATATATAAATATATGTTTAGTTTTAGTATATTATTATAGGATCATATGTTGTGTTATGTAGAAGAGATAATATTATATGTTAACATACATTAGTTTATATTAATTAAGTCCCAGCTCTTTTAAGTTATATGACTTTAGGTAAGTTACTTTCCCTATTTGGGCCTCAGTTTGGTTATTGAACATCTGTTGATCACGTCTTCATGGATCACAAAGTCCAGACCTGCCCTGCTCTCCAATTATGTGTCTGAGTTTATACATTAATTTATGTGAAGAATTATCTCCATTTTGCAGATGGTAAAACTTAGGTTGAGCGTGATTAATGATTTGTCCAAAGACACAACTCGGATCAGTTGAGGCAAGATCTGAACCCAAGTCTCCTCCCTCCCAGCCTAGGGCTGGGCTCGCTGCCTCTTCCCACAGAAATTTTATGTTTTTGAAGCAAAAGTTGTAAATAAAAGAAAGGAGAGAGTAACAGGGGAATGAAATGAGGGAGAGAAGGAAAAAAGGAGAGAGAGAAGAAAGGAAAGAAAAAAAGGACAAATGAGAAAGAAGGAAAAAAAGAAACGGAAGGAAGGAAGGAGAGAGAGAACAAAACACACATCAAGTGTGCCGATATCGTCTAAGCCGGCTGAGCTAGCCTTGGACCCCGGGGGGTGCAGTGAGAAGTCTCTGGTTTGGCCAGAGAGCAGAGCGCTTGCCTGTAGTGGAAGGCTTTTGCAGCTCCCAGCAGGCAGCGGTTGGTGTCCCCATTTCCTTCCTCAGAGTGCAGAGATGCTCTGCTGCCCCTGCTCATTGACCAGCTCAGCGGCCAGCTCGATGACAAGTCCAACAAGCCCGACCATGAGGCAAGCTCACAGCTCCTCAGCAACATCCTGGAAGTGCTGGACAGGAAGGATGTGGTGAGTGGATTCATTGCCTGCCCTCCCCGGGGCTGAGCCAGCCTTGCACTTGTCTGGGGCTGGGGGGATGATGACGCCGCTAGCTCCCTGTTCTCTCCACATGTCTGCGAGACCTCTTTGTGGGGCTGAGCAGGCCCCACTCCCAAGTGCAAAGTACCCTCAAGGTGGCTTTTTAAAGCCATCTATTGCACCTTATGCAATCTTGCAGCTCAGTCCAACTCACCCAATGTTGACGCGCCAGACACTGTTCAGTGCCAGGGTGCAAGCCAACGGAGGATCTGCCCTCGAATAGCTTACAACTTAATGTGGGGACATGGGGGTGACGTGAATAAGTAAATACCCGGAATAAAGTTTAGAAAGCAGAAAAAAAAGAGAAACCAGAGTGACTTCGAGAGGTTTGAGGAGGAAGAAATTGTTTCTAGGGACACAACTAGGTGATGTAGTGGATAGAGCACCGGCCCTGAAATCAGGAGGATCTGAGTTCAAATATGGCCTCAGACATTTAATAGCACACTTGACCCTGGGCAAGTCATTTAACTCCAATTGCCTCCAAAAGAAAAAACAATTGCTTCTGGGAAAGAGAACCCCAAAGGCTTCTGTAGAAGACGCGCTACCTAAGCTTGCCTTTGAAGGAATTGTGGTGCAGTGTGAAGGACCCTAAATTTGGAGTCCTAGGCTTGTAGGACCATAGATTTAGAGCTGGGAGGAGCCAACAAATCCATCCCACCTTATTTTTCAATTGAGGAAACTGAGGCCCAGAAAGATTGTCTTCCTTAATAATGTAGGATCATTGAGCTCAAGTTGGAAGTGACCTCAGTGGGCATCTAGTGTGACCCCTCATTTTACAGATAAGCAACTGCTATACTATGGAAATCACGTTCTCATTGGGGGTTGGGAGGGGGTGTCCATTCCTTACCAAGAATTTGTCTTCAAGATAACCACAGCTGTGACCAATCATGTCATAAGAGCAAATATAACCTCAACAAGCAGGCATCACAGGATTTTAGAATTGGGAGGGGCCAGAAAGGTCATCTAGTCGAGGAATGGCAAACAGCCAGAACTCCCAGTGTGGCTTGAACCAGATTAAAATATAATAGAGAAACGTATGTTGTTGTTCACTCGTGTTCGACTCTTCATGACCCCATTTGGAGTTTTCTTGGCAAAATACTGGAGTGGTTTTGCCATTTCCTTCTCCAGCTCATTTTACAGATGAGGAAACTGAGGCAAACAGGGTTCAATGACTGTCCCAGCACCACACAGCTAGCAAGTGTCTGAGGCTGAACTTGAACTCAGAGAAATGAGTCTTCCTAACTCCAGGCCTGGCAATCTACTGCCATCTAATTGCCTAGAAACGTTTGGCAAATTAAATAAAAATACAGTACAACATAGATAATGTTAATTTGTGGTTTTCTAAGTCAATATTCTGCCCACAGAGATGAATTTCTATGGGAGTTTGACCCTTCTGCTCTAATCCACTCCCCTCATGTCATAAGTAAAGAAACTGAGGCACAAAGAAAGGAAGCTACTTGCCAAGTAGCTTGTGACTGTAACCAATTCAAGCACAACAGAAAATGATGTGTGAATATTCTGGTATAATTACTATATGCTAATAGACTACAAAGGGGCAGGTAGATGATCCAGTGGATGGAGCACTGGGCCTGGAATCAGGAAGACCTGAATTCAAATCTGGCCCCAGACAGTTACTAGCTATGAGACCATGGGCAACTCACTTACCCTCTGTCTAGGAGACAGCTAGATGGCTCAGTGAATGGAGCTCCGGGCCTGGAGTCAGGAAATCCAGCCCCAACACTTCCTAGCTGTATGACCCTAGGCAAGTCACTTAACCCTGTTTGCCTCAGTTTCCTCATCTGTAAAATGTGATGGAGAAGGAAATGGCGAATCAGTCCAGTAACTTTGTCAAGAAAACCCCAAATGAGGTCACAAAGAGTCAGACGTGACCAAACAACAACAAACAATAGATGATAAAATATTCCCAGAACATAAAAAAATACCCCTCCTTGGTCATAAATTTGACCTAAAGTCAGATGTAATCCACACTATTTAAACCGAAGGCTTGATTTCTAGTTTTGACTCTATAACTGACAAGTTGGGTTCATTCAATAATGACTGAGGCAATATTTTTTGAACAAATGAATGAATGAGTGATAAGCCCTCTGCGTCATAACGCGTTCACAAAGGCCTGTTTTAGCAGCTCTGGTATTCCTCTCCTTTCTCCCAACGGTCATCATCCACACTTCTCAGCTGAATACGTTCAATGATTTTTTTTCTTTCTTTTTCTTTCTTGCTTTTTTTTTTTTTTAACAGTCTCTTTCTTTGAAGGGAAAAGGTCAGTTAGGCACTAAAAAGAAGCAGATCACTCACTAGCTGTGTGGTCCTAGGCAAGTCACTTAACCCCGATAACCAAAAAACAAACAAACAAACAAACAAAAATAAAATAAAAAGAGGCAGGCGTGTTCCATGCAGAGCTCTCTGGAATCCAGTAGTACCACTTGGAGTGAAATGACCGGCCTTTCTTTCTGTGTTCCTCCTTCAGGGCCCCACCTCGACGCACATCCAGCTGATCATGGAGCGTCTCTTAAGGAGAATCAACCGGACCGTGATTGGGATGAGCCGGCAGTCTCCCCACATTGTGAGAACCATTTATTACAAATTCCTAAACTTAAGTTGCTGTGTTTCTCAACGACCTTCACTTCTGAATATAGACTTCCTCTCCCTACCATTTCGGCTGTCCCCTGCATCCACAGATCTGACGATACAGGCAGTGTGCATACCCATGGTCCCTTGCTTCCGCAGAGGGAAGGAGAGAGGTGTTTTTTGTCCCCTCTTCTCTGAGCACCTGGTTTGTTTTGTTTTGTTTTTGCATTTAAAAAAATTTGCAAATTTGAAAAAAAAGTCATACTGGTCAGTATTTTCTTGGATTTGCTCATCTCTCTAGCTTTAGTTCCTGAATTAGGCCTTTGTACCAGGCTAGACTCTGCCCCCTGCAACATTTTTGGATGGAGTGATCACCTTTGCTTGATCTTGCCCTGGGGTTCTTGTGCTGACCTCTACCTCCTGGGGTTAGAACCCCCTGAAACTTTGAGGTTCAGAGTGCTAGATCTCCAGGGTCCTCCCAGGCATCTCAGGCCACGGTGCTAGGGACCTCAGAAACCCACGGTCTGGCTTACCCTGGTCTGAGCCCTGCAAAACCGGACTGGTCACTGCCCCACTGCTGCTCCCAAGGGTTTCCAAGGACTTCACCCAGGGGATTTTTCTGTCTTCAGACAGAGTCTTACACAGTACACATGTCACATCTCTAGTCAACCTGGATGAAGGAAACAGATAGAAGGGAAAATTAGAGATATACAGGGGGAAAGCAGACAGACCCATTAAAAAAATAAATCCACAGGGCGTGACAGATTCTTAGAGACAAAGGAAGATTTAGAATTGCAAATACATACTGAGGAATGATCTCCAGGCCTTCCCCTTTGCAAAGGTGGCTGGCTCAGAGCAGTGACTTCAGAAGTCCACTGGTGGCCTTTACCACTGGCCTACCCCATGGTCTGGTGGGCTGCAGAGTGCTTCCACCATCAGTCACCCAGAGGAGACAGCATATTGCTGGGATGAAGGAGCCAACCCTCCCAAGACCTGAGCACAAGCATTCAACACTTTCCACTTGAAGACTCCCATTGTCATAAATCTGATGGCAGTGAAGTTTTCCCAAGGCCTCCTGGATGGGTCCCATCACCCGTGGAGGTTCAACTTACTGTCCTTCTTCCTTTCCAGGGCAGCTTTGTCGCTTGCATGACCGCCATCCTCCGGCAGATGGACGATTTCCACTATAACCACTATATCAGCACTTTCAAGACCAGGCAGGATATCATTGTAAGTGGTCATCAGCAGGTCCTGCCAGCCATGAAACATTATCCCAGAATCAAAGGCTTCTTCATCCTTGGTCCAGGCCCATTTCATCACATTCAACACCCATTCTTAATATTTGCATTTATACCTTTTCATCTTCATATCACCTTTGTTTACATCTCCCATACCCACCTCCCGCCTTAGCAAAGAATGACAAAAACCGTTCAGTATAATTAACCAGCACATCCACCGAGTACGAAAATGTATTCACTAAGTATATGTGTATATGTGTGTATGCATATACACACATGTACATATATACATATACACGTGTCTTTGCAGGCATAGGAGAACAATACACACATACATGCATACATATACTCAATACACATGTGCATGTATAACCATAGAATGTAGGTGTAAAACATATACATATATACATACAATGCACATATGTACGCATGCATACACATATACACAATACAGATATGCATATATACATACAAAATATAGGTGCAGAATATATATGCATATACATGCATATATATACACAGAGAAAATAGACAGAGACTATATATATACACACATATACACATATATACATAATACACATGTGCACATATACACACAGAAAATATAGGTGTAAAATATATTTATACATATACACACAAATGTATGTATATGTGTATATTCTGCACCTACAGTCTGCTGTGTCTACATGGAACAGAGAGAAATAAGTTTTATCATCTCTTCTTTAGGACCAAACATGGTCAGCATAATACCACAGATTCTGCTTTGTTCTGTTTTGAGGTTCTTTCTATTTGCATTGTTTTGGTCACTGTGTATATTGTCTTCCTGGTTCTGTTTAATTCACTCTGCATCAGTTCATATAAATCTTCCTGAGCTTCCCTATGTTCAGAACATTCAGCTTTTCCCTAGTTTTTGGTTGTATTTGTTCACATAACACATCGGCTTTCGTGATTCGCGGAGAAATGGGGATCTGCTTTATTTCCAGTTCTTTGCCACTACAAAATATGTTGCTATGAATATTTTGGTCTAAGTGGAGACTTCCTTTCTATCTTCGACTCACTCTAAGGAGCATTTTTAAGCATTTTCCACCATGCCAGGCACTGTGCTGTCTACTGGAGGTATAAAATGAAAGACAAAGCAGTCCCTCCTCTCAAGAAGTTCATATGTTACTGGGAAGGTACAGTCTGTAGAGAGACTAGCAAACACCTGAGATTGTGAGAAGGGATTGAGCGTGAAAAGCTGGGTGGTCAGCTGTCAAAGGCAGCACATGACGTGAGCCCTTAGGATGCTGGTGAAAGATTCATAGAGATGATGGGGAAGAGGGGGTGCATTCCAGGCTTGGGGGACAGACATTCTTTGCAGAAGCCCACGGCAGGCAGGCGATGGAATGCCGAGTTCAGGTTTGAGATGCCTACAGGGATGACGACGAGGAGGCATTGGAGGAACTCCAGCAAGATAAATAGGAGAGCCTGGGTTGTAAGGCCCCCAGAAGAAGGCTCTTCCCAAAGCCTTGAACATCTTGCCCATCTGACTTTGGGCAGGACAGTAAAAAGGGGAGGACTTCGAGTTCCTTCTTGACTGTGCGACACTTTGAAAAAAGGGCCTGGAGTTAGGAAGACCCAAGTTCAATTCTGACCTCAGATATTCACTATGTGACCCTGGGCAAGTCACTTAACCTCTGTTTACCTAGAAGGCAGCTAGGTGGTTCAGTAGATAGAGCTCTGGGTCTGAAGTCAGGAGGACCTGCTACTGTGAAATGAGTACTGAATCCGCTTCATAGGACCTGGGTTCAGATCCTGTGACATTGGGTGAGTCACTGAACTTCCTTGGGTCTCAGTTTCCTCATCCGTGAAATGAGCTGGTTGGATACCCTGGCCTCTGGGCTCCCTTCCTGTTCCAAGACTGTGATCACATGATCACATTGCCATCTCCCTCCCTGGGAGTTGACTACATAGGGCCACCTGAGAAGTGAGCCCTGTCACCCAGGATAATTTCAACTCATTTTTGTTGAACAATAGAGCCCCCTGCAGGACACATTCGGTGTAGCCTTCCACTTCGATTTTGAGATGAAAAAGGTTTAATCTGATCTCTTGATCTCAGTGCTTTTTCCATTTCAAAACAAAGGGACAGAAAGTGCTGCTCTTGCACTGAGGAAGACTTGAGTTCGAATCTCACTTCTGCCACATAACTAGTTTGTAGTATCTCTGAGTGAGTTTCGTTGTCTATGAAATGGGAACAATAAAACCAGTATTAGGTACCTGTATTTCTAAGCACTTTACACTTTACCCCGTCATAGTATATAAATCTGTCACATGGGGACTGTTTCATACTTTGTCTTTGTATCTCCAGAACCTAGTATTGTGTCTGGCACATAGTAGGTGCTTAATTAATTCTTCCCGATTGATTGTATTCAGAACACAGTGAGGTGGAGGATTGCAAAGCCAATGAAGCCTCTTGCTGAGCAGTAACTTTCTTCTGAGCAATTCTCTGTTGTCCAGCTTCCTTTGGGAGCCCACCCACCCAGGCCTAGAATGCTCTGCCATGATGAATCCCCAGCTTCTTTCACATCTCAGCTCATCACAGCACCAGGTGCTGATGACTTGCCATCAATTTTGAATTTTACTATTTCTGTTCATCTTGTCTCCTCCATTAGAATATAAGCTCTTGAGGGCAGGGACTGGTTTTTGCCTTTATCTTGTCTCTCCAGCACCCAATACAGCGCCTAGCACAAAGTAAGCTATTAATACATATCAGTTGACTGTCTGAAGGCTCTTAACAAGTTTTTGATTGGTTGATTGATTCTATAAGATAAAACCGTTCATTACCACAGAGTATGTATGCTTCTCTCCATACCCATTGTCTTTTCCCTTTGTAAAGAAAGGAAGAAGGAAGGCGACTTTCCTCACGTCCTCTCTGAAGTCAACTTTGGCCATTATAATTACACATAAATGATGACTTTTCTTGGTCTGTGTTTTGTGCAGGACTTCCTGATGGAAACCTTCATCATGTTCAAGGATCTCATTGGGAAGAACGTGTATCCCCCGGACTGGATGGTTATGAATATGATGCAGAACAGGTAAAGGGGGAATCGCCTCCAACTGGAGGCCCTCGGGGCTCATAGCACAGTGGTCTGATGGGGCTGAGCCTGGGCTAGACTTCAGTGATGACGCCACACCCCACCACCTACCTGCTGAAGGTGATGAGTCGACATCTGCTGATGACTTCCCAGACAAACGGCACTCCGGTGTGATGAGACCTGAGTTCAAGTCCAGTCTCTGAGTCATACTAATTGTGTGACCCTGGACGAGTCACTTAAACTTTCAGTGCCCCCAACCATCTCTCCAAGATTTTAAATTACAATAATAGTTATTCATCTTTGATACAGTAGACCAAAGAAATCACATTTCTTTGACTTCTGACCCCCTCTCCCTCCAAAGAAGAAATGAGAACTGGTTTGATTTTTCCTTTGTATATTTGGAGATTAGCCTTGCACATAGCAGATGGGCAATATAGCGGAGGATAAGAACCCAGGACCAGGAGTCACAAAGATTGTCTCTGCCATCTATTAGTTGCGTGATCATAAACAAGTTATTTAATCTCTCAGGGCCTCAGTTTCCTCATTTAAAACTCAGACTGTAAGCCCTTTGATGACAAACTCCTATTTGTGTTCCGTTTCTGTGTCTTCAGTACCTGGCAAACAGTAGGTGCTTAAAAAATGCTTGTTGACTTATTGAAAAATAAGGTGGCTTAAACTAAATGCTCTCTAAGGTCCCCGCCACCTTGCAGGTTCCAGGACTCTAGCCAAGACTTGTTCTCCGAATGTAGGAAGGCCAAAGCCTGGTGATCATGAGGGTCCTTTCTTTACAAGGCCCCTTGTTCCCCCAGGGTTTTTCTCCGGTCTATAAACCTATTTGCTGAAGTTCTCACGAAGTTCTTCATGGACCAGGCAAGCTTTGAACTCCAGGTAAGACGCCACTATTCTCCTGCGTTACTCCTAAGCTGTCACCGTGGCCGAGAAAGCAATTTTGTTGGGAGACATCCCCTTTCCATTCCCTTCATCCATCCAGAAAGCATACTCTTCTGTTCTGTCATCCTCTGATGGCAGAGGCATCCGCCCACCTCATCCCCCCAGGGCAGGAAATGATCACTGGGCTTGGTTGCCTGTGGCCTAAACTTCTTAGGAGAACCAAAGGACTTTATGCCTGTCACCTTCCAAAGCAGGAGAAGTTATACCCAGGAGGTTGGGGGAATAAGGCCATATGCCACAAGCTATGACTTCTATGCACTTAGCAATTAAGAGGCAGTGCGGTGTGGGGGCTAGAGTACTGGGCTTGGAGTCGGGAACGTATGGGTGAATTCCACCTCTGAGACATTCCCTGTGTGGCCCTGGGCAGAGCACCCTCTTCTGCAGAAAGTTTGTCCTGTTCCCAACTGCTTGTGTCCTCCCTCCCAAACTACTCTGGAGCATATTTATTCACTTTATTGTTATGATAAATATGTGTATATATGTACACATGGGTATGTGTATATTATTATATAACACAACATAACAATATAACACAATTATATCCTTTTATTATCTAGAACATAGTAATATTTGTTATGTCATATAATTTATTTATAATTACTATATTATATGTGTAGTTAATGTGTTATATTATCAATATAATAGTATACATTATATTAATAATATAGTATATTATAACAAATTTATATGATCTATATTATAAGTATGCTATATTGTATTATCTAGGATATAATAATATATTATATTTATTGTATATTTCTATTATACTATATTATGTATTATGTTAATTATATATAATATATTATAGCTATTATTATATATTTATCAATAGTATTATATTATTATATGTTCTGTTGTACATTAGATATAGCATATTAATAATGTTATTATTAACATAAATATTGAAACTATTATATCGATATAAAATGTCATGTTGAAATATTGATTACATCATATATGACATATTATATCACTATATTGATATAAACCATATCATATTAATTGTATGTACTAGTTGTCTCTTCCATTTGAATGTAAGCTCCTTGAGAGAAGGAGCCATTTGATCATTTTTACTTGTGCCTCTAGCTCTTGGCACAATGATTGGCACATAGTAGGCACTGGATAGATACTCGCTGGTTGGTTGGTTGGTTGGTTGGTTGAAAGTTATAATGATCTCTCAGAACAATAAGCAACTTGTCTCTAAGTCATAGACAGGTTGGGGGAGGGAGTTCCCACGTACCTCAGTTCCCTGACCAAAGAAATCAGGATTGTTTATTCATCCAGTCTAGTTAATGGGATCACAGATCTTAGGGTCTTAGTTGTAGAGATGGATGGGACCTCCCAGCCATCTGCTCCAAACCCTCTCATTTTGCAGATGGGAAACTGAGACCCAGCATAGTGCTGACTCATACAGGTATAAAGGAGTGCCAAGATTTGAACTCAGATCTTCTGACTTCAAATACAGCATGACATTCCCCTCTACCAACCTGGTTCTATAAATCTCAATCCCTGAATCTCAACCCTTTTAACAGAGAATGGAGATCAGTAATGGACCTACAATGAACAGAAAGTTTTGCAGACTTGGGGTGGTTTCTTCCTGTATACTCAATGTGCGTCTTTCTACCATGTTTAGTTCTGATCCTTAATTACTTGGTTTCTGTTTTCCCCACCCCTACCTCACTGCGGAATCCTCTGTAGCTTTGGAATAATTATTTCCACTTGGCCGTTGCATTCCTCACCCACGAATCCCTTCAGCTGGAAACCTTCTCTCAAGCCAAGCGCACCAAAATGGTCAAGAAGTAAGTGCCCCCGGACTCTCCATCATGGTGGGAGGGGAAGAGCAGAGATTCTCACCTCAAGCTGTAGAGCATTCTTCTTTGACACAACAGTCATTCCTTCTCAATGGCTCTCCCATGATGTGGTCCCATTGGAAGGCATAGGAGAGTCTCTGTTCTTTCCTCGAATGGATGCCATGACCTTTCTCAGCGGGGATAGGGGATAGAATACCTGGTCCTGGGGTCAGGAAAATCTGGACTGGAGGGAACACCATCAGTGTCCCAAGATCAAATGCAAACTCCCTCGTCTGGCTTTTGGGGCCCTTCCCAACCTGACCCCAATCGACCTTCCAGGTCTTATCACACATTGCTTCTTTCCACACACTCAATGCTCCAATCCAATTTAAAAATAAAAAATGAAGGGCGATCATGAGATTTTTCTTCTTAAAAGAAAGTTTCTACAAATCTGGCACAGAGGAAGACCTCCCTCACGTTGGATGGATTCTCCATGGGAGCTATGGGAGAGGATGGGCAAAAGTCCCACCAGATAGGAGGACGTGGCTGAGTTAGGGTTAGTTAGGCCAGGCTAATGAGTTCATAAGCTCTTCTAAGTAGTGGGCCAGGATCCCCAACTCCCACCTACCCCCCATTCTGTTGTGTAACTGAGCACCACTAAATGTCATATTAACAGGATTGAATATAGTCAGCAACCAGGTGGTGCAGCGGGTAGAGCACTGGGCCTGGAGTCAGGAAGACTTGAGTTCAAATTTGGCTTCAGACCATTACTAGCTGTGTGACCCTGGGCAAGTCACTTAACCTCTGTTTGCCTCAATTTCCTCATCTGTAAAATGAGGATAATAATGACACCCACGTTCTAGGGTTGTCATGAGGATCAAATAAGAAGATATTTGTAAAGCACTTAGCACAGTGCCTTGGTCATGGTAGGTGCTGTATAATTGTTAGCTGTCATTATTATCAATATTGGTAGTAATAGCAGTCATCATAACTGAAGCTGAACAGAATTATTTATATCATTGAATTCATGAGCCCCCAACTCCACAGAGCTCATGTGATCCATTGTTTAAAAAAAATGGGTGTTCTTGATGTAGGATAAATCGTGCTGTTTTCTAATATATCGTTTTTATTATGAACTTAACAAATATCCCCAAATCAGCATTTCCATATATGGAATATGAAATAGAAGAATAGGACAGAAAGAAAAAAAAAAAAGAATTCTACACGAAGACCTAGAGATAGCCAGATAGAACAGTGCACAGAGTGCTGGGCCTGGAGTCAGGAAGACCTGAGTTTAAATTCAGTCTCAGATGTTCATGAGCCAAGTGACCCTGGGCAAGTCACTTAACTTCTGTCTGCCTCAGTTGCCTCATCTGTAAAATGGGGATGATAATAATAGCACCTAACTCACAGAGTTATTGTGAAGATAAAAAGAAATAACATTTGTAAAACACTTTTCAAACCTTAAAGTGCTATATAAATGTTAATGATGATGATAAAACCACAGATATCTATGTTCAAGTTGCCTCTGTTTTCAAGGGTATTCTAAGTTCAGCCTGTAACATTCTCAGCTGTGATGCTTAACTGTGCTTCTTTCTGGCCTAAGTCCTCTGCATTTTTTGAAAAAAGTCTCAGCGTATTTTCTTTCTTTGTTTTCCCTGAAAATATTCATGCTGATCTTCCTTCTAGATACGGGGATATGAGAAAGGAAATCGGCTTTAGAATCCGAGACATGTGGTACAACTTGGGTGAGTGTGTCTCTTTGGCAGGGCCACCCCCCAGGCATCTGCTCATTGATCCACGTTTTACCTATGCCTTGTGTTTTCATTGTTTTTATCTGCAGTCACTTCCTGGTATCCCTTTCTCCTCTGTTCCCCTCTCCCCACCCACCAAGGTGCCCCAGAAAATCCTTTAATCCAAGCCAGTGACCGGAGTGACTCATGTATGACAACCCCCAGCCCAGGGACTCCTGAGAGGCAGGAAGGTGAATCCCAGCACCTGTTCTCCTCTCCTCATTATTTTCATGACCAAACCTGAAATCCAGCTACGGTCAGGCTAAGCTGCTCAGTCTGAGGTGATGGCTTTCATCCCTCCAGCCTCTGTTGGCCTGCAAGCAGACCAGTGGCCCCATGCCATTGAATATGTCCTGTAATCTCTCCTTTTCCAAAATACATTGGTTCAGCCCAAAAACCACCTTCTTGTCTTTGGCTTCAATCCTTCACGTTGATCTCATCAGTGTATTTGTTGTCTGCCCCTTCCTTCAGGGCCCCACAAGATCAAGTTCATCCCCTCCATGGTGGGTCCCATCTTGGAGGTGACCTTGACCCCGGAGGCAGAGCTCCGGAAGGCCACAATCCCCATCTTCTTTGACATGATGCAGTGTGAGTTCAATTTCAGTGGAAATCACAACTTCCAGATGGTAAGGAATGCTGGACCCATCAGCCTGGCGAATTACCCATGCCATCACCCTTTGGCCAGCCCCTTTGTTCGGTAGATTCTGAGACTCAATCTCCTCAATCTGCAGAGTGTTCAGAGTTACAAGGAGCCCTTGGCTAAACTGACCCAGAAACACTTTGTAGGTGTGAAGGTCAGCAGAAACGGTCCTGCTCCAAGGACTGGGCAGAAAATATGCATTGTAGAGGGAATGTGGAAAGCATTAGGGACACAAACATGCCTCTGTGTGTGTGTGTGTGTGTGTGTGTGTGCACGCCTGTGCATATGGGGATAAAGGATATCTGTGTGTTTTCATGGATGCCTCTGTTTGTATGAGTGTGAGCATGTGACACACTATATTTTGTGCTTAATCATGCACACACACACATACATACACACATACATACGTACATACACACACACACACACACACACACACACACACACACACACACAC